GATAGGCATGTGCCGTTACGTGTGATTTGTGTGGTGCTGGGGATCAAACCCAAGGCTTCGTGCACTCTTGGCAGTCTACCAGCTGAGCCTCTCCTCTTGTTCTGAACTGGGAGGCTTAGTTTGCTATTTTAGTAAAAGAGCATGTGTCAAATATTAGTTAAAATTTTTACTAGCTATATAGTTAGTGAGGTTCTAAGATTTTTAGTTTTCACCCCCATGAGTTTTTTTTTTTCCTGATGTCTTGAGTTCTTCCTACTCTATGGGCATTCTGATATGAGACGCAGTATCACAGACTCTTAGCCACATGTCATTTTGAACAAAAGCCACACTCAAGTGTCTCTGACAACCCCAATACTGTTAAGTACCCAATTTTTTCATGTAGGGAGCATTCCAAGATCCCTAAGAATCCTTGCCAGGATAGTCAACTTGTTATTCTAATTATCCTAAGTCAGTTACTCACAGCCCTAGGAGTCTCAGATTCAAATCTAACCAACTAGAACATCCTTAAAACCCAAGAATAGTGCTCCACACCAACCATGGAACTCACTGTTGACAGAGTACAACTCACCCTGGGTCCCCAAAAGTCTGGGGCTCTAAGTATGTACCTGATGGAGTTTCATGGCTAAGTGACACGAACATGAATGATGACACAGTATCCTCTAGCTCCTGATTTTAGAGATACATTCTCTCTGTCCCTCATCATCTGGGCTCAGAAATGCCTTTCTGGTATGTGTGGCTCCTAAAAAGAGACTACCCAAATGCTCTCAGCAATGTAAGGACTGTTACGAGGAAAGATGAGAAATGCCAGAGACTCGGCATTTATGACATTAGGTAAATTGGAGTTCTCATGGCACCATGTTGGGGAGGAGAGAGGGACAATGGAAGCCAGGGTCCTTGGGCTCATCCCTCTGCCTTTTGGCCAGATTCCACAAAACAAACCCCAAGGAGTAGCAAATACTACTGAGTCTTTGCTGTGTGCCAGATACTCACTAGGTGACTAACACCCATTATGACATTCTATTAACGCAACAATACTCTGAAGTAAGTATTATTGGGGCCATCTTAACAAACAAAGAGGCTAAGTGACCCGTGGAAGATTACTCTGATGTTAGATGAGAAAAAAAGTAGACCCAGGCCCTCATCTTCCAGTCAGTGGCTGCTGTTAACATTACAGTTGTTTTTCATCTTAATTTATTTCTGCAGATATCACATTGTTTTAGAAGACACTGTCACCTTCTCTAGCTCTGTATTGGATAAGCATATTGGTATCGTACTTTTTTCACTGGAAGCTCATTTTCAGGACTTCATGTCAGACATGAATCTATACCAAACATGAGTCTATACCAAACCCACTAGATTTGGCATCTTCTGCTAAGTGTCTGGCCATGCCAGCACTGAAGTGTGTAAATCTCTTTTCATTCAGAGATTTGCACGGAAACCATGAGATCTGGCTTTGGCTTCCACACACAGCGTTTATCTGAGGGAGGACCATGAACCAAGGCTGCCTTGACTGAGCTCAGTTCTTTTTTTTCATTCTACTTGCTTGGGCAGATGTCCCAGCTCAGAAAAGATTAGCATCTTAATGGACAAAACTGTTGGAAAGGCCAGTGCAGATTTTTAAAAACCCTTCATGTTCAGAGAAGAAACAAGAATTCTGTGACTGAATTTGTCAATCTCTGAATATACTGCCCCAGTTTCTTCTCTTTCTTCATTAAAAGTTGGCAAGCTCTTGGATTCTCCTCGGAGACCTGGGGCCATGCTTGTGCCTGTTTCTGTTCAATAAAAGCTCCTCTCCAGGGTTGCACTCCTGCCCTCCAAGGTGGAGTTTTTCACGATCTTTAAAAGAGGTACTGTGCCCCCTAACGACATACTGTTCCCACCTAACCCTCAGCACTTCAGGATTCTGGCCCCATTTGGGAATGGGACATTACTATGTAATTGGCTAAGAGTAGGGCTTCTCAACCTGTGGATCCTTACCTCTTTGGGTGGTGACCCTGTCACAGGGGTTGCCTAAGACCATCAGAAAACAGATTCTTTACATTATGATCCATAACAGTAGCCAAATTACAGTTATGAAGTAGCAATGAAACTGGTTTTATGGTTGGGGATCACCACAACACAAGGAACTGTATTAAAGGGCCACAGCATTGGGAAGGTTTAGGACCACTGCAGTAAATATAACCCTAAGTAACCTGTCCTCTGAGGAGCCACAAGCATGCCAAGATAATGGGAAAAGGAGGTACAGCCTGGAGTGATGTGTCCTCCAGCTCAGAACGTCAAGAATCATCTGCCACAAACCGAAGGAGCAAGGAAGCATCTTACCCTGGAGGCAGAGTGGGGCTGGCCTAGCTTTTCTGTTGCTATGGTAAAATACTAACCTAAAGCAACTTGGAGAGGAAAGGGTTTCCTTGGCTTATACTTCCAGTTCACAGCTCATCACTGAGTGAAGTCAGAGTGGGAACTAAAGGCAGGAGAGGTGAAATGCTGTTAATTGGCCGTCTCCCAAGCTTCTGTTTAGATACTTTTCTTATACAGCCCAGCCCCACCCTGCCTAAGAATGGTATCACCCACAGTGGGCTGAGCCCTGCTACATCAATTAACAATGAAAATATGTCCCACAGAGATGCCAATAGGCTGATTTGATTCAAGGTAACCCCCCTCCCCAACTGAGACACCTTGCAGGTAACTCTGGGCTGTTTTAAGTTGACAGCTGAAATTAACAAATATGAGAATCACTTGTGGTTCTTTACAGTCATGTTATTTGTGTTACATGGTCTTGGAAGCCACACACAACCACTCCAAGTAAGCAATGCTGCTTAATTTCTACTCTGAGCCAGGGTCTTCTGGACACTCAGGCCGGTGGGACATGTTTCCAGAGTCATCTCCTAGGACACTAGAGCCCTCACACTGTGACTCACTCCAAACATAGGACTCTGTGACCCCTTGCTGGGGCACGAGGAGGCTAAGGAGCCCAGCCTTGGCCAGGGGTGTGGGAGAACAAGGCTGTAACGTCTGCCAGAGCCGCTGAGCCTATTACAGGCTGCAGGAGTTGGACAGGGCTCAGTCTCGTGTGAGAGTTGAGGTGCATGTGGGGGGAATGTTATGTGAGGGGCTGTTGGGGATGTCTTTTCCATCTGTGGACAAACCCATCTTATGGCCTTCTTCTCAGCCATGGCAAAAATACCAGGCCAGTGCTGTGCTGGCCTCTACCTTTTGGGGAACAACTCTTCTAGCCCACCTCCTTGGGTAGGAAGAGGCCTCACAAGAATAAGCTCTAGGAACTGTGATCAGTGCCTCTGGCTGGCTCCCAAGGAATCTGAGGCTGGAGACCAGTTACCTCCAAGTATGTAAAAACCTCAGCACAGTGAGCCAGGCAGCCTGCCTCCTGGTTTGTGTGTTTGCCATTGTCCCCTGTTCATGCCATTTTTTTTTCTTGGGCAGTTACTAGCCTCTCTCTCTGTGTGTGTGTGTGTGTGTGTGTTATATGTGTGTATGTGTGTGTGGTATATGTGTGTGTTATGTATAGACATGTGATACTTATCTGTGATGTGTAATATTCATGTAGTGGCTACTGTGGGTGTGGTGCATGTGTGTAACATGTAATAAGCTATTGATATGTATGTAGAGATTGTGGAACATGTATGTGTGAAATGAGTGTGCGGTGTTGAATGTTGCCTGTGTGATATGTGCACATGATGCGTAAGATGTGTAGTGTGTGATATGTGATATAACATGTATGAGACATGTGATGTATATCTATTATGGTGCATGTTATATAAATTAGCATAACAATAAAGATCTCTGATAGATAGAGGGTAATAGTGGGCGCTGAGCTGGATGGATTTGAGGGAAGAGACAGGCTACCAGATGGAACCACTACTCTTCCTACCCCTCATAGTCCAAAATCTATCTGCTTCCCTTACAGTGTATTCCATATTCAGGAAGAATCACTGTTTCTCTCTTGGCTTGACGGCAGGCCCACAGTGTGCAGTGGAGGCCTGGTGCTGGATGGCAGTCCATGGGACTTAAGCCTGGCCGATACACACAAGGCCTGGATTCTCCTTTTGTCCAGGGTGGTGCTGCTCAAGTGCAGCTGGGCTGTGTGTTTGGCGACCAGCACGACATACAGCTGTTTCCCTCAGCCACAAAGTCATTGTCCTGCCAGCTCTCCTGGCTGTCACATATAAACATCACATAGGCAGAGGCTGGCAGGATGCTGGGGATACCCCAGCTTTCTAAAGCCTGTAGACTATGTCTGTCTGCAAGCAGCTGTCCCCAACTAGAAGGGACTGTAGATAGAACTTCACTACAGCTCTCGAAATGCTACTACCCAGCCGGCACCTGTGTACCACTTGGTTGTCATTTGTGAAAACTTCTAGGACATTTGTGCGTGAACTCTGAGCACAGCACAACACAGGACTGTAGCAGAGCTCACACCTACAGTACTACTAATGTAGGAGTTGTAGCACGTCAGAGGTCATGACTATCAGCAAAGTCCTTGTCATCAAGCAAGAAGACCCAAGCTTGATTACCATTATTCACGGTGGATTTGTTGTTATTTTTTTTAAAGCTGGGTGTGGTGGGCATGCACTTACAATCCTAGTGCTAGGGAGACAGTGACGGGACCCTTGGGATTCTTTCACTCGCTAGCCTAGCATGTTTGTTGAGCTCAAGACTAGTGAGAGACTATATCTCAAAAGCAAGGTGGATGATTAACCTTTGGCCTCCGCATACATGGGCACCTGGACACATCCATGTATCTGCATATATGTGAGACCACATAAGACACACACACACACACAGAGAGAGAGAGAGAGAGAGAGAGAGAGAGAGAGAGAGAGAGAGAGAGAGAACGCAAAAATAGCACCAGCTAAAATTTATTGAGTACTGACTCTGTACCAGGCCTGTCACTGGGCACTTTCATCACTAGACAGTGGGTCCTATTCTTCAACTTGGTTGCACAGGTGGGAAGCTGAGGGCAGGAGGTGTTATGTGGCTTGCCTGCAGTATGCACTGGTCAACGACTGCACTGGGTCAGTAGGACTGTTAGTGATGGCTTGTTTGATGGGCGTGTCCCAAGCTCTTCATACTTGTATTTCTCCCAGGCTGGGGTTTCTTGGGGATCCCCAAAGCCGGAAACTGTATGTACTAGTGGTTGACTCTGGGGCTTCTTGAGGTAAGGGCACCACGGAATGCTGTTCACCACACAGAGAGCTGAGGGATTCCAGGAAGAGCTTTCTGAAGGAGGAAGACACAGCATTGTAGAGGACTGGGGTCACTGCCGAGCTGACATAGAAGAGCGTGTTGGTCACCATGTAGAAATAGTGATAGAAATCATAGAGCTCACTGGAAGGCAAACCCAGAGGTCTGGTTAGAGGCTGTCACCTCTTACAGTGCCCTCGAGTCCCCTCCAAAGAGCCAGGTGAGCAAGAAAGTTCTTTGTGTTGACAGAGCACATTAGAAATAGTACACATTTCTATTACTGCCATCCCCTGATGCATTCCATCCAGCCTCTATGACTTTCTGGCTATGCTTACTGATCATCTATAAAGAAGATGGCAGCCCAATAACAGAGGCTGTCTGCCTAGGTCAGTGAGATGCTGGGAGCCCTGTGCTTCTTGGTATGGTTGAGGAGATATGGCTTCACTAAGAAGGGATGTTTTTTCCCCTAGTCATTATGCTCCATGTGGCAGATTCTTTTGGTGTTAGTGGCTTGGAATATGCTCCTGCATGCACATGTATATGAGGCGTTCTGGTTGCTTCTGAGGAAGAGGCTGTGGACACACCTAAGTCATTATGGGATCTCTACTCTGTTGGGTGTTTGGCTTCCATTTATGATCACGGGCATTGTGATTTCTAAAAGACTCACATGTAGCCTAGGCTAGCCTTCAATTTTTTTATGTAGCCAAGGATAACTTTGAACTTCTGATACTCCCACATGCTGGGAGTACAGATGTGCACTACCACATTCAGTTTATGTGATGCTGGAGATCAAATATGAGGTTTTGTTCATATTAGGCAAATACTCTTCCAATTGAACTATATTTCCAACCCCAAAATTTTCTCTTCTCTAACTGCAATAAAAGAAGATTCGCTGGTCTCCATGTGGCCTTTGTCAACTCATGGATCTATTCTGAGTCTTTAATAACATGGCTGTCACCACCCTGTCTGGGCTGTAGACTTTGGTCTGTTCTAGTGTCAAGATGCTCATACCCCTGACTTCTCTCTATGAGGCCTGTCATAACCGTGGCCTCACCATGTCAGGAAGATTTTTAGAGAATGCCCTGACCCTACCAGGTATGATGCATGCCGTTATCCTAGTTCTTGGAAGACTGAGGCAGGAGGACTGTCATACTTGGCCACAAAGAAAGTAGTAGGCCAGCTGAGGCAATATATCAAGACTTTGTCTCAAAACAAACTAGAAAACCCACAATAGCTTGTCTCCACCTCCAGCTGGAAGATTTTGAAAGTACAGCCTGAGCAGGACCAGATAGACTATAGGCCAAGGATTCAGAAAACTTGGCAGCTGAGGCTCCATTGTCTGGCTCCAGCCCAACCCAACAGTCTCTTCTCAGTGGCCCGAGAGCCACAGCACACTTACTCAGTCCATCCATCATCGGGGATGTAGCAGTACATGAGCCTTCGGGCATGGTACGGCAGCCAGCAGAGGACATACACAGCCACGATGGCTCCTGAAGGACAGTGGGAGAGAGAAAGAGAGGGCGTAGCAGACAGAAAGCAAACATGTTCTCAGTTATATCATTGTTGAGGGAAAAGCATGCCCAAGGTGACAACACCAATGCCTGTGGCATCTTCCTGGAGCCAAAGGATGGGAAGAGAATTTTAAAGTTACTGGATATGAACCTTCCATGTCCTTGTACACAACAGGCTTCCAGAATCTTTCATTGGCTACTGGAATGCACTCTCAACTTAGGACTAGATATTCCCAGCTGACTGACTGCATGTGCAGCATGATATGCCTTTTGTGCACTGCAAAGCCCCTCCCTGAACTCTTCCTTTTCCTTCTGCATGGATGGTAGTCCTATCATCAGACCTCAAGCTGGAATCTTCTTAGCTTTCTCTCCTTCCACATCTCCCGTTTTAATGAGTTCGTTCTCAGCGACTGTCCACTCTGTTTCTTCCTTGCCTTCACAGCTACCACCGTAAGAAGTTTCTGTCTCCTTCTCACTGGACTCTGACATCCGTCTCCCTTCTACCATGAGCAACCACACACATACTACCCAGTATGACCCCTGCAGCAATAGCATTAACTGGTATTTTGGTAGAAATGCAGATTGATCAACACACTCAAGACCTCGTGGGTTGGAATATCATGGCTGGGCCCTGCACTCTGACTCTTAGAATGTCCTGGATCACTACCATACACCTAGAAGTTTAGGAATACTATTTGGCCCATATGCTAAAGAGCTATGAAGACAACAGATCTTCCAGATGTTGGCTCTTGGACCGTTCTGCTCAGCGACTACAGAGTGAAGCCTGACACCTTCCTGTGCTGATTTTGTGTGACTCATCACATCCAGTGCACTTAGCTCTTACATCTTTTCACACAAGATGCGGATGTTGCAGAGAACACAGATCTGTCTCATCAAATCCTCCCAGACTTCAGCTAGTGCCCAGATTTCAACTGGGGCATGATGGGCCCTTGGAGAGACCTGTTTTCCTGTCCCTTTAAAAAGTGTCTTTTACAAGGCCAGATTGTTCTGGATCCTTACAAAGGCAAGCAAGCAAACAGATGAATCTTGTGAGCAGGAGAGGAGGGAGCTAGAGGGAAATGGGATATGGGGACCCAGCCAGTCTGAGAGTCTACAATAGTCAGACTGCAGTCCTTCACTGTAACTACTTTTGGCTTTCCCTCACAGCCCAACTTTCTGAAACAGATCCAAGACCCTCCTGTACGGGTATGCTACTCCCTGCGTGGATCTGTACTTTCATGCATAACATTCCAACTCTTTCTTTTAGCTATTCCATTGTGCTTTTGAGGTACAGGAAGAAGGAGGCCTAGAGAAGAGCAATAGCTTGCCAAGGTCATCTAGCCAGGAACTGATGGACACAATCCCTGGTACCTAAGCTCCTCTCCCTCAGGGTATTGTGTTAGAGGACTTAACTGAGAACCTGGGCGCTGTGCTGGAGGCTGCGGATCTGGCTGGCATCCTTGTGTCTCACCAGGCTGGCTTGGACCCCCAAGGAGAGGGTCTTTCTCCATGTGATGAAGCCCAGGAGGCCTTCCTCACTCAGGAGCTCCAGGCGGCTGGGGATGGAGTTGACTTGGGCAGAAGCTGATGGTACCTGGGAGTAGAGGGCCATCAGGTGGTTGACAGTGATCCCATTCAGGAAAGCAGTGAGTGCCAATGGAAGAACGAAGGATACCAACACATTCACCTGTGAAGGTAATTCCGAGTGTTATGGGGGCAGCCACCAAAGGCCTGTGGGTCTGGACATCAGGTTTGCTCTGTGCTAAGATTCTGCATCAGCACAAGTAGGGGATCAAAGGCCTGGAAGGTACAGCTAAGGAAAGTCTCGGAACTGTAATGCTACAATGCAAGCCCAAGGTCACAGAGAAGCCATATTTCCCTATGGACAGGAGTCAGTTCTTTACAAGGAAACAAACATCTCTGAATGCTCAACCTTCTCAGCCCGCTTTCTTCTCCGATCTGCACACAGGACCCTGAGTGCCCCAGCCTGCTTTGCAGTCTTTATATTCAAACAGTGTCTTCAAATGGCTCCCACTGGCTAGATACCTTCATTTTTAAAACAATTCTCTGTGGGCTGGAGAGATGGTTCAGTGGTTAAAAGCACTTGCTGTTCTTGCAAAACACTAGTTTTATTCCTACCTCTCATGCTGAGCAGCTCACGACAGCCTGTAATTCCAGCCTTAGGGAATCTGATGTCCTCTTTTGGCCTCTGCAGGCATCTGCACTCATGTGGACATACCCATATACCCAGTCGTATACACGTGATTAAAAATAAAGTGAATCTTTTTTATATTAAAAAAAACATTCTCTCATCACAGCCTCAGATGTTGGGAATCAGGCCAGGAGGTTGCAATAAGTGTTAGCTCTGGGGTACGCCACTCAGTCTACCCAGCAAAGGCAACAGAAGTATTCAGAGCCATGTGGCAAAAGGAAGCCCATGCCAGAGCTGGGTCACCATGAGCCCCAAGTGAAGTGGACATACCCAAGGCAAAGACGGCAGAGGGAGTGACTTGTGGGCACTTTCTCTGTACTCATTCTCTCAGTGGTTGTCTAGAGGCTACATGGGCAGCTCCTGCAGGTGGTACTTCTTATTCATATGCTTTTGGAAGGACTACGTGAGGAGAGGATGCAGAGAGAGGAAAGGGGGAAAGGCTGCATGGGCTCAGGGGGTGATGCCCTCAGGTGGCCCAGTTAGGTGCTTCAGTGGGAAGGAAAACTGTGAGAGATCAGGTCCCTAGAGCGAAGTGGGGAAGGAGAGAAGAGAACACTGACTGAGAACCTGCTGTGCCGTATCCCTGGCACTTTCATGGGGTCACATTTAATTATTTCCATGACACTAATGCTATATTTTTGGTATCCAGGCAAATCCAAGCACGTGCATAGCACCCACCATCAGACAAGCACCCCTTTCTGCCTCAGCAGGGACAAAGAACAGAAACAGGGCCTCCTGGGAGCCAGCAAACTGATATTTCTGACTTAGGGTCCCAGTTCTCACCATCCTTGTCCTGAATCCTTCTCTAACTTGAAGTTTCTTCCTGTGTTTCGATCATCCCCAACAGAGTCCTGACTAGAACCCTTCAGTTTCCTTCCGCTCCCTCCCTCCCAGATAGTGGTTGAACTCTCTTCCTAGAGATGGACATGATGTTTCAAATGCCAAACTCCTTTTGAAGCAAATACATTACAAACAAATCATTGTTAGGTATTTGGTCCCCTTGTCCCCATTCAAGGAGAACTTGGACTAGATAGGGGTAAGGCAGCCCTGGCGAACATGGTTAAACATGGGCACAATCGGCTCTTCCCATGGCTTCCCCTCATTCCTCTTGGGTGAAAAGGAAGGTGGTAAGTGAAGGATTGATGAATAGGTCCTAGACTACTCCCTCCCTGTCCACCAGACCCAGCTGATACACACAGGACGGTGCAGAGGTAGAGAGGGAGCTTTATGCCAGGCACTGCAACTGTGTAGTGTGGCAGGAAAATAGAGTGGAGAGTAAGAGGTATCAAGATTAACATAAGAGAAACCAATGGCAGAGAAAGGCTGGTGACCCTCACCAATGGCTACACATAAGGAGCAAAGCATGCAATAGAAAAAGCCCATGGATTACAAAAATGGGAGAAGACAGGTGCTATGTAAATGACACATAAAAGGTCACCCTCACTTTACTCTCCTGGCCAGTGCCCTTGAGCTTCTAACAGTTTCCTCTTCTTCTACTCTTCGTCCCCATTCCTTTACCTGGATGAAGACCTGGAGTGTGGCACGGCTCACCAGCACCGTGCACACACGAGAAGCAGGCTCAGGCTCCCCGTCGGTCCTCTCCATTTCGTGCTTCTGTCCCATGATAACCGCCATGGGCAGGGCAAGACCCAGAGAGGCGACCCAGACCAGTGACAACAGGCGGCGGGTGCGGCGCGGGGTGAGCAGGCGGCGGGCGCGTAGCGGCTGGCACACGGCCAGGCAACGCTCTGCGCTCAGGCTGGCCACGCTCAGCACCGTGGCGTAGGCGCACAGCTCGCGCACGAAGTAATAGCCACGACAGCCCAGATCGCCGAAGACCCATGGGTAGTGGGACCATACGAAGTTGTAGAGCTCCATGGGCACGCTGACCAGCAGCAGCAGCAGGGCTGACAGCGCCAGGCTGAGCACGTGGTAGCGCAGGCGCCCGGGGCGACCGGCCCGCGCCTTCAGCACCACGTGCACGGACAGCGCATTGCCCGCTGTGCCAAGCGCGAAGATGAGCGAGTAGAGAGCGGTGAACAGCACCTTGGCCCAGAGACGAGTGTCCACGCCCAGCCGCGCCTCCAGGCTCAGCCCTGCGCTGGGGCTGGGCCTCGGGGGCCACGGGCTGCTGGTCTCCATCTCTTGTCTCGTGGTGGCCTGAACTCCCTCCCTCTCACTGCCCAGAGCCTGGGCTAGCTGCCCGGTCAGCCAGCACCACCTCCTTTCTGGGAACCTCCAAAGCTGAGAGGACACGCCCCTGGAGGGAGTTCCAGAGCAGAACCAGTCTTCGATCTCTCTTCCATTTGGCTCTATCTAGAAAAGCATGTGTTGGTGGAAAAGGGTGGAGGAAGGTATCCTTTGGAGTTCACCTGGATAGCATCACTGGTAAGCCATATGACCCGTGGGTAAATTTTTAAAAGCCTTCTGTGCCCCACCCCGTTGTTTTTCAACTTTAAAATACTACCCATGCTGCAGAGTTTCTCTGGAGATCAAATGAGTTAATCGGGACACATACTCAAGCTGCAGTACAGACAGACAGATAGATGTAGAATTTGAACTTTGCAACATCCCCCGTCACTGTCAGTTTGTTGTCTTTTCTGTGAGCAGTCTGAGGAAGAGATGGCTCAGGGAAGGCTTTGCCACGTTCCAGCAACTTTGCCAACTTAATCACTCTCATCAACCTGGCTGCCTCTGCTGCAGGAATAACCTCAAGAAGGTGGCCAGTGCATGCACCCTTCTGGTGTCACCCTGTCACAGTCCTTTGAGGATGTCACTCTCAGATCAGAGGGATGAGTGTGTGTTAAGCCTGTTTAAGAACATCTTACTGTGCGCATTTGTGAGCTCATGAAGAGAGAGGTCTGGAGCTGGGACTTTTTAGATACCCATCTTCCCATCCAAAGGAGGCTTATGTCTACTGGGGACAGAATTAGATTGACACCCAGCCCTCCTGATTGTTTTCCCACCCCACAGGTTGTATGGCCCAGTGACAATTCATTTCATCTTTTTCTGGATCCATATCCATATCCACAATGAAACTGAGATGATGTAAGTTTGCTTTCATTCTGCTCCTACACGGGAAGGGTTTTGAGGCTGGGGAATCATAGGGAAGAAGCACTCCGTGCCTTTACTGAGTAGTTAAGCCAGAGTTGGAGAGATGGACATGCATGCAGACACAGAGAAGCACATCACTGCAGAGCAGAAACCAAACCTGAAACCTCTCTTCTCTGAAGCTGCTTTTGTTGGGTTTGTCACAGCAACAATGAAAGTAGCTAATACATTGAACATGCTCAGTTAAAACATAAGCACATCTTGATGGACTATTTACTGTTAATGCCTTTATTAAACAAAACATTGGCTTAATCCCCCCGAAGCTGCCAACTAAACATATTTCTACTACAGGGACTTTTCTACCAACCCAGATCAAAGACCGTGGCTATGTAACTATAACCCAGGAAATATTTCTGGACTTACCTTATGAAAGCCATGCCCTCCAGTCCTCTGTGGGACCCACTACGATGTTGGGCATTGGCTAATTCATGCATCACTATTTGCTCAAATATGCCTTAAACAGTGTAACTCTGTGTCAGTTTGCTCCTATATAGAGCCAAAAGTAAATTATGTCTTGGCCTCATCCTGAGAGGCCGCTGTGCTGATTATGATGTAAGACATAATAACAGAACTTCCCTGGCACATTCTGAGTATGTAATAAGGGCACTGGATGTGATAACACTGTTGAAGTTGCCCCTGTTGTGGCCTGTGACCTCCCTGACTCTTCACTTGGAAAAACCCTGTCTAGCTCCAAGAAAGCTTGTAGGGAGTTATGTGTAAAAAGAGCATGTGACTCTCAGAATGACCTCAGCAATATCATCCCCAAATGCTGACCTTTCCCTTCAACGGTCAGAAGAAGAAGAAATCATTCTGGGATGTTGGAGAGGGGGCAAGCATGAGAAGGGTGAAATCATGGCAGGAAATGCTCTGAGTGCTTGCGTGTGACTCCCAGATATGGCTGCCAGAGCAAGTGGGGGCATCCTGCGTGTTCTTGACAGCTGGGAGCTGCAAGGGACATCTATCCAGGTCTCAGTGTGCTATCCTAAAAAGTTAGAGCCTTCTGCAACTTGTGATGTTCAAAATAAAACAGAGCTTTTAGGGCTGAGGACACAGACATGAGGTGTCCCAGTGGTGGTGGGGATGGCAAGCCACGGACTCACAGATAACAGCCCTTCTTGACACAGTCTAACTGTCACATAAGAGGAGCTTTTGCCTGGCGAACATGAGGACTCACATTCCATGTGAGAGTGCCAAATGCGATGCACATGCTTGAAACCCCAGGCATATGGAGATGGAGGCTGGGTCCTCGAGGCTTCCAGCTAGCCGGCCTAGCCTACACAGTGAGCTTCAAGCAGAGAGAGACCTTCTTTCCAAAAAATGGTGATGGTGCCTGAGGAATGACACTGTGACACTAAAAGTTTTCTTCTGGCTCACACACATGCATACATGTGTACCCCATACATGTACACACACATGCATACATGTTGTGTATCCCATACTCGTGCTCTCTCCCTCCCTCCCTATGCCTCCCCCACACTCTGCATCTACACTATGGTACCCCTGATATTAATATCTCAAAGCTGCAATAAAGATCAGGAATTGTTGCCATTTCCCAGGGGTCACATTGTACTAGGACTATATTGAGATCTTTCTGAGCATGGCTTCAAGTCTCCCCATGACCTTGTGAAGGACTTTTTTGCAGGGTTTCATTAAGTTGCCAAGACTGGCCTTGAGCTCATCACAATTCAGGCCGGCTTTGAACTTGTGATTCTCCTGCCTTGATTTCTTGGTTGCCTGTACACTTCATTCCACTGTAGATGCATGGAGGGTCTGTTTTTAATCTCTGTTTTCCCAAATGGGAAAAAAAGGCTGTTGGAGGTGGAGTGAGCCCCCACCACCACCAAGTCCTGTTAGCTTCTAGGGTGGCAGAGTTGGACAGGAGCTGCATGGTTCTGGCTGTAGATTCACCCCAATGCTGAACTTCCGCTGAGCTGAGCCCATCGGTGGTCACTTCCCCATTCTTGGCATACTATCTAACTGTAGCTGTCCCCAACTAATGTTACTCAATTGAATCCTGGAAACTGCAGCAGTGTTCCTCACAACCCACCCCAATGTTCTGGCTTTCCAAATGAAACACACAGACACATAGACACACACACAAACAGACACACAGACACACACACAAACACACACACACACACTCAGCCTTTATGTTTATATATGCCTTAAATAGCTCAATGGCTGGACCACTTCCTAACCACGAGGTGGCTAATCCACTCTCCAATATTCCCAAGTTATGACTTACTAAAATCTTCATTCCGTCTTTGCTGCCCTAGACCTAGATGTGTAGCCCTCCCAGGCGGAGATCTCCTCACTGCTACATGGCGGCTATGTTCTCTGTGTACAACTCTCAGGTGTGGCATCTAGGTTCCTTCTCCTAGCATGGGATCTCTCTCCCTTCTTCTTTCTGTTCCTAGCCTGGAAATCCTAAAAGTCCCACCTCTGTCTGCCCTGCCCAATCATTGACTGTTGGCATCTTTATTTACCAATCAGAACCAGCTGTGGCCAGGGTCCCTCAGTGTCTTACATGTGAGACTACTGCAAACAGGTTTTGGGGGAACATAATTAGCAGAATACAAGCAGCATTAGACCAAACCTACAACATCTACCCAGTGCACACTCCCAGCTGTCTGATTCAGCAATGAGACATGTGTCACCACAAACTCTGTCTCTTTTAGCAAGTTGCCAATGTGTGTGAAAACCCCTGGGATAGGCTTGGAGCTCTGGGGACAATGGCCAAGATGCAGCCCACTCTGCCTTCCTCACAGTCTGGAAGTGTGCCTAACATCCTAATGCACATGTTACATGTGCTGGTCCTCTCACCAGACTGGCCCAATCCTGATCCTGACAGGTACAATCTTATCACCTGTCAGTCATGAGGTTCTTAAAATAACTTGACAGGGCAAATTAAAAATAGTAGGAGGAGTGGTGACCCAGATTGATGGAAGTGTCCTGGAGAGTTGGCATTTTGTTTTCTCTTGCACTTAAGGGCCTTTCGGGACATTCAAATGTGGACACTAGTCCATGTCATAGTGGTGGGGTGTCTGCTCTGAACTGTGCACACCCATTCTCCCCAGGGTAAGGAAGGCCCAGGGTGTCTCTGCTGAGTGACTAATATCAGAGCTTGGTGGGTAGGGACAGAGAGGCCCAGGCTGGAACACCAGCCTGACTTTATAGATCCAGTCCCTGTACAACCAGCCTAAGGACATTGTCTTTGAAGTCACTTGTCCTGCTTTGCCATTTTCTGCTTTATCACCTAAGGCCAGCTCTGCAAGCTCTTGTTTTCTGTGTGTAATCTTTCAGGGGTGCTGTGCTGTAAGAATCACACGCTGTCATAACCAAGGGGCAGAACTAAAGATGGTAAGGAATGACATAGCCTCTGGGGCTGCAGGAACATGTGGAAGTGGGTACACACAGAGGAAGCTGAGGCAGGCTGCAGCTTCTGCTTTTTCTGCCTTGGGTGTAAGAGTGCAATAGACATGTCATATCTGAAAGTCAGACTTCTACACTGGGCCCCCACTTCTTCTTACTCTTATGGTCTTTCTTTCCCTTCATCTCTGATGTTTCAGTGGTCTTAGAAAGGTTAACATAGATGTCCTACTTATGGCTGGGCACTTAGCAGTCACCCATTCTTGTCATCCTGACCAGTTATGAGTCTGTATTTACCACTGCGCACTGCAAAGGAATCATCTCGCCCGAAGCTGAGTATAAGGATGTAATTTTTGGGGGTGGCTTGTGAGATGGTTCAGCGGTTAAGAGCACCAACTGCTCTTCAGGAGGTCATGAGTGCAAATCCCAGCAACCGCATGGTGGCTCACAACCATCCGTTATGAGATCTGATGCCCTCATATGGGTGTCTGAAGACAGCTACAGTGTACTTTGGGCCGGAGTGAGTCGGGCCCTGGAGCGAGCTGGGGTAGAGCAAGCCAGGCTGGAGAAAGAGAAAGAAGGGGGGAAGGGAGAAAAAAAGGATATAATTATTTAGAAAGCTATTTGACAGAAATAATGTGTCTATTTAACAAGCCAGTAGT